AGACGCCTCCAAAAACGCCGATCATTCACTTCATCTCTGAAGCAGAAAGTGGCATCGCGCGTATTTAGAACGTAAATAAACGAGGGAAGCTTAGATTGATAGAATCCGTACCTCACGCAAGAGGCCCCAGCCATGATTTGAAGGCAATTTCAAATATTATATATATATATATATTATATATATATATATCGAGGTCAAGATAATCCTGGCTAGGCATGCCGAGGCCGGTGCCATTTGCGATTCCGTCTCTTGTTCGCCGGTTCGTTTTATAGCGTCGACGCATGTCAATAAAATAAATGCAAGTATTTGGGGTTTAGGGTTTAGGGTTAAAGGAGCTCCAGTTTTGAAGTTTTTCAATCCTACAAATACCGGGACACGAGGAACAAAATCATAGAGCCGGTGTCATGCAGGTTTTGTTCGCTTGGCCCATACCTTTGTATTCTCCTCGTGTAGGCTCGCCGCGCCGGCCATGTTTGGTATACCTGTTTCGGGAGGATGCTTCAGGTTTAGGGTCCAAGTAATATCAAGCTGAGACAATCAAGCAAGAACCTTTTCTGGCTAAGGAGTTCTGTTCTAGTGGTTTTTTGTCGAGCGGCGTAGGGTTGGACAGTTTGTAGAGTGTTTACAATCTCAAGTCCACATCTGACCAGATGCAGTATGCAGTATGCAGAGTCATCCACCTTAAACAATCAGAAGGTCACCGCCCAAGCAAAACATAACAGCCGCTCCTCGTGCTCGTCGTATAGGCTCGCTGCCCATATACCTGCTAGGATGCAGGCTCCTAGTGATTCTAGTGATTTGCTATCGAGCGCCGTAGGGTTGGAACGTTTTGTCGAGTTTTTTCAATGGTCTTGGACAGCGTTGTTCTTAAAGTCCACATCAATTTCTAACCAGATGCAGTATGCAGAATCATCCAACTTAAACAATCAGAAGGCCACCATCCAAGCAAAACACAACAGCCGCTCCTCGTGCTCGTCGTATAGGCTCGCCGCCCATATACCTGCTAGGATGCAGACTTCAGCAGGCAGGAGCTCTGAGCGTTCTAGTGATTCTAGTGATTTCGAGCGCCGTAGGGTTGGAACGTTTGTAGAGTTTTTACAATGGTCTTGGACCGCGTTTTTCTTAAAGTCCACATCAGCTTTGAATTTGTACAGTATGCAGAATCATCCAACTTAAACAATCAGAAGGCCACCGCCCAAGCAAAACACAACAGCCACCCATCTAGCTGCGAAATCTTTCTCCAAATAAGCGCAAGATAAATGGAATGATCGAGAAAGCACATTTAGATTGCTTTGTCCCGGATGCATCTTTCGCGAAAAGTCTGTTCGCCAACCTCGGCACGCACCTCTGAACTCTAACACCTATAGTCCTAAAATTTACTTTTATGTCTGCTCATGTGAGTACTCCTTGAAGGCGAGGAAGGGCTGAGGGAAAGATTCAGTCTAGGCCAAAGGTTTGAGGAAGTTGAGCTCAGGAGTATGCTGGGTCATTCCGGAACTTTCGCGGAGCTTTCGCTAGTCTTTTAACGGGAGCGCTTCCATCAACACGGCTTTCCTGAACGGGGCCCAATTTCTGTTGAGGTAAACTGTCGCCAAAACAGTTCCCTTTCACACGCCGGTTCGCAGATCTTTCGCGGATTCTCACACATCATGGAAATCTAGCTTCTAGAAAAAATGCCTGACAAGGACCACTACATCAACACCCACCTTCACATTACACCGCCCTGAAACCAAAGTTACTCGAGATTTGCTCTCGCAACAGCTTGGAAACTCCCGTCCTCACACTTTACCGACATATCTCGAAAGCACCGGCTCGTCTAATGCCCAAACTCTCCTTACCATGCTTCTGTACCATATATGGTATACGCCATGCTGCATGCTGCAGACGTCTTATCAGCTAATTTTTCCCCTCCAGCCTTCAAGTCCGTGTACGCCTTGAGCATCGTGGTGGTGTCCCAGGTATGCTCTGGAAGTCTGTGATGGTTGGTGTCCAACAGCAGCGTTGCGGTCTCAATGGCTAGTGTTGCATCTTCGCCATCTCGCTGTCCACGCGACTTCTGTGCTCGAGCTTGAAGTGAAAGGGCACGAAGGGTGCCCTGCACGTCAGCTGCAGAGCCTCTAGGCGGACATTGGCAGGTACAGCGTTGGTCAGCGCCGAAAGAAATCCAGCCTCCTGCACAACATCTCCTGCGTTGCACCGCGGGTCCATAGCCACGATGGCAGCTACATCAATGCCAAGGCGTTCCAAGTACCGTGCCACTGCTTGGGCCAAAGTCACACCGAGCGAGTGCCCGCTAAGAATCAACTGCTGCTGGGAATGTCCAAAGGAGTTCAATACAGCCCATAGAAAAGCCGCGAAAGCTCCGAACTGCAGAGCCAACTCTGTGGTTGTGACGGGAATCACAGCAGTGGCTGCAGGAAACATTCGGCAGGCCAACCTGCTATCATTTGGCTGTCGGGCACCTCCCGAAAAACTAAAGACGATTGCCTTTGTTTCGTTTGCATCTTGTGGCGTAGAAACTTTAAGCTGATGCTCTGCAGGCTGCATCACCTTTGCTTTCGCAGAGCACATGGAGCGCTTGAAATTCAAAGGTCGAGACAAGATGATACGGCACGTGCACTGAACAAGATGGAAAGCATCAGGAAACGTGCAGACTTCTGAGCTCAAGCAGAGTGGCCTTCATGAAGCCCGTGCCGTTGGACTCTTCGTGTCACGCGGGACTTGAGATCAATCCCGGGGATGGGTTGCCAACGGGATGGATTAGGGCCGAAAAGAAGGGACCCCCCCAAAGGTGTACCCCCAGCCGACCTTGGGCGAACCTTGCAAGCCCAAAGCCTCCAAAACAAGCCTCGGCGAAGTCAGGCGACTTCGGCGAAGGAAAGAGAAAGGTTGAGGAAGCTGTGCTTGCCGAGCCTGAACCTCTTCAATTCGTTGAACCCAGCGAGGTCGACAAACCCTGACCCCGAACAAGCCTCGACAAAGGGGGGGAAGCTTCGACGAAGGACCGCGGGGTCGACGAAGGCCACCGAGCTTAAACGAACTTTGTCCAAAGTTCGCGGGGCGGTCGCCCTTTGGGCAGGCCCCTTACGTTTGAACCTGATGGATGCTGCAAGTACCTGAGTAGCGGTTCGACAGCCCTGGCCAAGCCACGGAACGGCAGCCACGCCCAGCGAGACTATCGAGAGTTCGAGCAGTTCTCTCTCGACCCCGGCAAGGTCTGGTGAAAGCCCGGAACCTTCTTCTGATGTTCCGATCACGTCCGCGCAGAGAAGTCTTTAAGATCGTTCCAGTCCCGCACGTGTCGGAGCACAGCAGGCTGAAAGATGCTGAAAACCTTGGCGGGGAACCCGCAGCGCATGGAGCAGACAACGCTCTGGCCCATGAGTCGGCTTTGCTGAAGCATCGGTTTCGAGCTTGTCGATTTGATGGCGCACACGTGGCACGCCCGTGGGCGTTTTGCGGAAGCTTTGAGGCACCAGTAGCGGTGCGACATGGTGCGATTTCTTGTCCTTAAAGTGAGGAGTGTGTGGAGCTTAGCAGTTGAGTACCTTACAGCGGAACCCTGCATGTTAGTCCAGCGGACATTCGTCGTGTCAGGACACGTTTCGAAGTCCAGCATCATCTCTCCGAGTCTCCATTGCTGCTTTGAGTCTATTTGTGGCACGCGGTGCAGCGAAGGCTTGTCAAGGAAACCGCCCTGCAAGTAGCATGAGCTCTTTTGGCCGTCACAAGTCCGCGCAGCCTCCTTCGATTCAGCACATTCCGAGGGTCCAAGCGACAGATCTGTCACTCCGCCCATGCAGAACGTCGACAAGCTACTGAGGCAGTCCGGGCTGCCACGTTTCTGCCTGGGGGCATTCGGGGCCTGGGCGTGAGGGGTTATGTTAGGACTGCCACGGGATGCGCCGCGCGGAGACCTCTAGGCCTCTGGAGAAATTTCCCAAGGCGGCCACGCAGCCCACAGGTGCATCGCCCGGCTGCGTTAGCACCCTGTGTGGCTGCCAGTTCGGATAACAGCATTAGCTGCCTTTCAATTGAGCACAACGCAAGGGCTTGTTCTGGCTGAGCGAACACCAGGAGCGAAGCAATCCGTTGCTTGGCTCATGTCATGAGCATATTAGTCATTACTTGCCTCTCACGTGCGCGGAGGTTTTGCGAAACACGCACTGGGATCTCGACCATGAAGCTTGCTGGAAGTATCGCTTGGTCCAATCGGTTTGTTTGAAGAAACAAAGAGAGGCAACACTTAGACCGGGCAAGGGGGCCCCAAACTAAGTTCGTCTAAAACCCCTGCCCCTTTGCACGAAGCCTCGTGGCCTTCTGCTAACTTCGTTGAACCTTCCCTGCGTTCGCAGGGGCATCTACTCTCCATGGGTGAGTCTTCCAGCTAACCCTTGGACCCTTCGTGAATCTGTCCTCAGGTTCGCAGAAGTTTCGTGGCACCCGGTTCTGCCCCGCTAAGTTCGTGGAATGGGTGCCTGTTGCCCGTCAGACGGTTTCCTACCTCCGTGTTGCCCTGAGTTTGGACACTGAGATTTTGCCAGGGAGTTGCCAGTGCAACAGCAACAGAAATCCGCTCTGGGAATGCGCCGGACCCTCTTTAGTGATCTTTAATGCGTGTCCACCCTGAAGAGTCGGAAGGCCACGTGGGCCCAGAGCGTAGGCCGTTATGGCCTTAATAAGGTTGATGTTAATTTGAGAGATTGCGCTCTGGATTTGCACGCGTCTGCACGCCTGTTGCATGCCCTGGACCAGTTAATTCGTATAGGAAACCTGCTCCATCCGCCAACCTTTAACTCCAAATCTGGCCTCTGCGTATTCGGCCGGCACCTTTCAACCCAGCCTCCCAAGGCTTCGATGGCCCAACTCCCGCCAGCGCCGGCACGCTTGACGATGGCAACGTACTGGAGCTAGCCTTGCGTGTGTTCAGGAGCCATTCTTAAGAAGCAGTCTCGGCTCTTCGGCTCAAGAGACTGAAAACGGCTAGTGTAATGTCCAGCGGCTTGTTCGTGTAGCCCAACAAGGGTTGGGGAACCATCACAACACTCTCAAGGCGTGGAGAGTTCTACAGTTCTCCCGCTACATGCCGCTGCCAAACAGCAACCAATCTGAACTGCCGGAACTATTTTCAAGTGCCCTGATAAGAAGGAAAACCCAGGATCCCGAGATCAGACTCACTGCCAACTACTTATGAGGGAGGCAGGGGACGCCAAAACCTCCACGACAAGCAACACGCGCCTCCTTATGAGGGTGCAGCGAGGCTGGAGAAAGGAGCCCAGCACGCGCGAGAGTGGAGAAGGACGCAATTCTCAATCGCGCTTGGGATGTACGAAGAGCAGTGGAAGAACAGACTGAACGAGGACGATGGTGGCTGCACACAGGTTTGTGCTCGTAATAGAGTCAAAGGCTCGGCCTTCTAGATATCAGGGATGAACCGCGACTAAATGGCAAGCTCACTGAGTGACAACCATTCGCGCTTTAAGCCGAATCTGTTGGCAGACGGAATCTCAAAGTCCAACACGCTCAGCTCAGCGATCTGAATCGTACTGAGACTGACCACGGCTGCCCTCTGAGTTTCCGATGGGAAAAAAGGATTGCATGAACTCGAACTCGGCATGGTCAAGAGCAATGCAGAATGGTCAGCACACCGTCCAGCGAATCCAGCTGCAAAGTCATGTCGCCGGCAACCACTCGCCGCACTTGCGCTTCAAGCCCCACGTGTCCTGGCGCAGAACATGCGAGTCTGGATTGAGCATGGCTTCGTCGAAAGCATGCATGTCTGAGCATGGGTTTGTGGACATGGGGCGGAATTGCCCCGACACCCAGATGCTGCGAGTCGCAGAACTGAACTGCCAGGAGCTGCTCCTGGCAACTACGACAAACTGCACAAACATTTAGAACTTACAGGCTTGAGTTCGTTCGGGCCTCGAGTAAGGGCGATGTCCGTGGATACATTCCTAGTCCTAGACTCCGGCATGCGAGAACACGCAATCTGAGTGACAGCCACTCCTGCCAGCGCTGGCGCTTTCGCAATCCCTGGAACAGGAACAATGCTTGAACTCGGAATCGGCATGCTCATCAAGAGCAGCTCGCAGAGCAATGCAGAATGGGCAGCACACCATTCAGCTGCAAAACCATGCTGAGTTCACGGACCGGCAACCGCTCGCGGCACTTGCGCTTCAAGCCAAATTGTCCGCGCAGCAAAGCGGAGAAGTCTGAATGGCGCAAAATACGCGAGTCTGGACTGGGCATGGCTTGGCACGGTCGAAAGCGTCCATGTCTGAGCATGGGTTGCTTGACTTGGGGCTAGCGGCTAGGCATTGTCTGCACTTGAACTGCTGACACCCAGATGCTGCGACACCGGATGAGTTCACTTTCCATCCTGTGACAAGTCGAGCCTTTTGCTCAGCTGATCTGGCCAGCAGGCAGAGCAAGGATGAAGTTGCCCTCCAAGATAGCTTCATCCATTGCCGCATTGCTGGAAAAGCTTGCTTTCTGTTGGAAGGCCGGGCAACATGCACATGTCACGCTGGGTGGAGCACCAACTTCTCGGGCCTGGCCCCCCCATGCACTGCGAGCACGAATGTAAGCGCGAGAGAGCCTACGTAAGTACCGCAGTTTCGGCAAGGCAACACGTGCAATCGGACGACCGCGATGCAGGCTCATGGAACGTCATGCGCACACGAACGTTGAGTGTCAGGGAAAGCCACGTCTGATAGATAACCCTGTGTCCGCACAGCACGTCGCTGTAGCCCATGTGACTGCGGGGTGGGTGGGTGGCAGAGAGAGACTGTGTGGCGACGGAATGGGCAGGGGGAAAAGGAAATAAGATGACATGAAAGCAACATCGGGGATGCAACACGTCGTGCAGTCAAACGACCACGATGCAGGGCTCATGGCACACATGAACCTTCAGCGTCAAGTCTCGAACGCGCTGCAGAAGTTGCAGGGGCTCCGGGAAAACCACGTCTGGGAGACAGCCCTGTGTCCACAAAGCACGTCGCTGCAGCTGTAGCCCACGAGACTGAGGGAGTGGGGAGGGCGAACAGAGTGACTGGGTGAGGGCAGCGGAATGGGCGTGGAGCAAATGAAAGAGAATGATGACCTCTGGAGGCTGCTGAAGCAGAATGTGTGTGCAAAACAGCTATCGAGTTGCTCTATGCTTCATGGTTGGGGTAGATCGTGGGCAAGTGAGGAGAATACACAGCAGGTGCTCCAGTCCTCCGAGACGAAGGCAAGGCAAGGACGAAGTTGGCCTTCAAACCTGCTGCTGGAAGTCCAAGCAACATGCATGTTTCACGGGGAGCGGCCGTCAAGGGGTCTGCCCCCTATGCACTGTGAACACGTGAGAATGTAAGTGCAGGTAAGCCGACGTACGTCCAGCAAAACCGAGGATTCAGCACATGCAGTCAGACGACCACGACGCAGGCTCATATGGAATGTCACGGGCATACGCAGACGGCTGTGCAGGCGGGAGGCAAGGGAGCGAAAGAGTGGCGGAATGGGGGAGGAGCACAGGGAGGAGGATGATGACCCCTGCGGGCTACTAAAGCACAATGTGTGCAGAGCAG